ACACTTTCTTGATGTCTGGCAGGAGCGCTGGCGCCACGCCCCTCGTGGTCGCGGCCTCTATGCCTTCTTCCCTGTTCTGAAGGAACGGCTGTCACTCAAACACCTTGTAGTCGATCATTACCTGTCGGCGTTCCTGAGTCATCACGGCAATTTCAATATGTACCTACATCGGTTTGGGCACTCTTTGGATGATCTGTGCAGCATCTGCTCGGTGCCCGAGGATCCTGACCATATCCTCTTCGACTGTGTTCGGCACGAGCAAGAAAGGTTGGAGCTCAAGTTAATCGGTGAAGCAGAGGGCCTGACTTGGCCATTTCCGAAACCAGTACTTCTCTCTATCAAAAACTTATATGACATTCTTAGTAAAATTATCAAGAATTGTAACAGCATTAAACTGAAGAACAGCTACAATTGTGTGTAAGTGTGGTACACTATGACTTCATTGTTGTAAAACTCCGGAACTGCGGAGTTCTATTATCTTTCATTGTATATAGTACTGATGTCGCGTTAATATTCTACTATGTAGTTTTTTATATTGTATCTAACTTTTGTTTTATTTGATTGTATAACACACTCTACGAAGCTTACGCGGTGTAGAGTTTACTAAAAGGGAACGGTCAACTGGAGAGGGCGGTAAAGCCCCCACCAGAAGACACAAGTTCCGACAAAATGAAATGAATGAAATGAAATGTCCCTATCTACTACTGAGTGGACTGCTCCAACTGACGTTGGGAAGTGATTACATCGTGCTCGTAGATTTTTCGTGTTTTCGACAGGAAAAAGGTTTTTGAGTGCGGTTTTTTGTTGAGTGCTGGTTAGTACTAGTTGCTGTGATCATTTTAACACCTTTTTTGAATCAAAGGACCAGATATTTACGAAAATATGAACGTTTAAAGTTTTGAAATATTCGGACCGATTTTCCGGACTTCTGAGTCATGTTATCCGGAATTGGAAGACGGTGGTAAATTTGGAGACTATATGTGAGTATACCCACCAATTTTGACAATTGTAGGTGCGATAGTTTTTGAATTATTGACCTTATAACTTTGGACTTCGACGGCCCGCATCGGGCTTCCCGGGTTCCATCCGATAAAATCTCTGACGGCAAATGAAAGTGGGCCTCCCAATCTACCATCTGTGAAGTTCTGGTGGATCTGCTGTGAATGGTTCCTGAGATATACCAACTTTAAATTTTCAACTTTTTCCTCACTGGCAAAGGTGAATGACCTCAGAACTCCAACGGCTTTCGTAACGGCTAATAGCGATTGCAGTGAAGTGTAAACAACTACTGACGTCATCGTTAAAAGAAGAATTCATCTAGACTTTATTAATTATAAGATAGTTTAAAATTAATTTAAGTTTGTTAATTAGATTGTAAGTAGTTATTCTCTATCTTTTCTCTCTGAGTTGTTGAGTGTAACTTGACAGCGCAGAATTGTCGGTACGAACGTTACCTTCTGTACAGCACATTTCTTCAGCTTGGGGAATAGGTACATACAGGGCAATTGGTCTGTTTTTTCTTTGTGTACTGGCTAAAGATAAAGCATTTTAAATGGATAAATTTTTAGAAGATTCTTCCGGAATTGTAGAGGAAACTAAGAACTACATTGATGATAATCCGGATGGAAGGATGTCCACCAAGGCACACAGAAAATATATATTGGAACAAATGAACAAGATAATTACATTAGCACAAATGACTCTAGTGGGGATACCTTACAATACATCTATTGAGGAAAAACTTTCTTCAATGATGAACAAAGAGGATCTAACTAAAGAATTAAAACAACTAGAAACTAAAACCCTGCAGACAATAGAAGATATGAAACAGGAAATGCTTGATATAAAGAGAACAATTCATAGAGAACTTGATGACACAGAGAAAAGCGAAATGCTCAAACATGAAATTAAAGAAGCAATAAAAATGAATAATGAAGATATCAGCACAACTGTCTCTGCTATCAAAGAAAAGATAGACTCTTATGGAAAAAGGATGGACATAGGAACACCTGCTGTCCCGCTTTATAGTACAATAGTTAAATCAGGACATATTAAAACGCAACATAATACATTAAAGCCTAATACCCTACGAGAAACCCTACTGGTCTACAGTAAAAACAGAGAGGAGGGTAACAGCGAGAGAGTCAAAACAATTATGCAACAGAAGATTAAGCCATCAAACTTGAATATCAGGGTTGAGAGACTTCGAAAAATTGGAGGAGGTGGTGTGGCAGTTGAGATGAGCGAAAGAGGCAATGCTCAGAAACTGCAAAGATGTATTGAAGAAAACATTCCGGAACTCACTGCACACGCCCCAAAAAAGCGGTGGCCTCATATAGTGCTGCATTCTATTCACAGGGATATAGCAAAAGAAGAACTTTCTCAGGAAATATACATACAGAATAAAACAATACAGGAAAAATACACTCAGGAAGAGTTTAACAGGCACTTTAAAATAAAATTCCAACTGGGTAAAAGAGCTGCAACCTATTCAAACTGGACAGCTGAGGTGTCGCCTGACCTAAGAGTGGAACTGATGCAACTGGCAAAAATAACTTTGAACTGGTCGCGTTGCAGGATCTCGGATTTCTTTCCGGTTCTGCAGTGCTTTAAGTGCTGTGCATATGGACATACAGCCAAGGAGTGTTTACAAAATGAATACACATGTAGCCAATGTATGGGAGATCACCCATACCGTGACTGTCCTAGATTGAAGGAAGATCCTAGATGTTGTAATTGCAAAGCAGACAGGGCAAAAGAATATCTACATAATGCACGTGACACTAAATGCCCAATCTACCTAAGAATCAAAAACAGTATTCAACTCAAAACCGACTATGGACAGGACTCTTAATTGGAAAATCAGAATTCTTCAAAGTAATATTCAAAGAAGCATAGCTGGTGCTTCTCTTCTCAGCAAGCAACTTTATAATCACGATATAGTGTTAGTGCAAGAGCCATACTGCAGGGACAGGGTCCCTGCTTGCCTGCCTACTTTTTGTCCTGTCATCCGGGGTACAAGTGACTACCCATGGGCAGTAACCTTGGTACCGAATACAAATCTCCCTATCCTTCAACACTCTAAGTATAGCAATGACTGGATTATTGTTACAGAGGTGTCAGTTAATGACGAAAGAGTGATCATCATCAATATATACTTCCCAGGAGACATGAATGACAATTACCTTCTGGACAACTTACAGAATATCACGAACTCTTTCCATGATTGTCATATAATAGTTGCTGGTGACATGAATGCGCATTCCCCTGCGTGGGGGGGTGAGCAGTTGGATGAAAGAGGAGGCAAAATTGAAGAATTCATACATGAAAATGACATGCTAATTTTGAATAATCCCCTCTCCCCTCCGACCTTTAGCTCGGCGAGAGGGGACTCCTGGATAGATGTGGCCTTTTGTAATTCAAGTTTCTATACAAAAGTTGCTAATTGGAGAGTTATACCAGATGAATCGCTTAGCGATCATGCGTATATAGCTTTTGAAATCACCACTGACAGACGGGAAAAAATGATATGGACTCCAAGACTAAAATATGTAATCAGTACTGCAAAATGGAATGAGATGAAACATTACTAGGATGACAACTTATTAAACATTGATACTAGCGATTCAGAAAATGCTATACTTCAAATTGAAAATAACGTTGACATAATTAGCAAGGCTTGTGATATTTACATCTCAAAAAAGATAATGGATAAACGGAAGGTACCATGGTGGTCTGCGGAGCTAAGCAACTTAAGAAGTAAAACTAGAAAACTAAGAAAAATTTACCAAAGATGCCGAGACAACAACACAAGACTTCAACATAAAGAGGAATACTTAACCTGTCAGAAAATATATAAACAGAAAATAAAAACAGAAAAGATACGCAGTTGGCAGGAATTTTGTACAAGGGCCTCAGCAAACCCCTGGGGGTTTATTACCAAAATGTGTTGTGGTAAGTTACGTAAAACCAAGATACTGACAGACATTCAAGAAACCACACAGACACCAACTATGGTACAGGCATTGATATCTCAACTTAATGGTTTTTGTCCAGATGACAACCCTACACATGATAANAGCGCTGGCGCCACGCCCCTCGTGGTCGCGGCCTCTATGCCTTCTTCCCTGTTCTGAAGGAACGGCTGTCACTCAAACACCTTGTAGTCGATCATTACCTGTCGGCGTTCCTGAGTCATCACGGCAATTTCAATATGTACCTACATCGGTTCGGGCACTCTTCGGATGAACTGTGCAGCATCTGCTCGGTGCCCGAGGATCCAGACCATATCCTCTTCGACTGTGTTCGGCACGAGCAAGAAAGGTTGGAGCTCAAGTTAATCGGTGAAGCAGAGGGCCTGACTTGGCCATTTCCGAAACCAGCACTTCTCTCTAACAAAAACTTATATGACATTCTTAGTAAAATTATCAAGAACTGTAACAGCATTAAACTGAAGAACAGCTACAATTGTGTGTAAGTGTGGTACACTATGACTTCATTGTTGTAAAACTCCGGAACTGCGGAGTTCTATTATCTTTCATTGTATATAGTACTGATGTCGCGTTAATATTCTACCATGTAGTTTTATATTGTATCTAACTTTTGTTTTATTTGATTGTATAACACACTCTACGAAGCTTATGCGGTGTAGAGTTTACTAAAAGGGAACGGTCAACTGGAGAGGGCGGTAAAGCCCCCACCAGAAGACACAAGTTCCGACAAAATGAATGAATGAATGAATGTCCCTATCTACTGGGGCCGAGTCCCTAAGCGTTTTAGTGTGTGCGATTTCGAAGCTAGTTCTCTCGATTCTCGATCGTTATCTCAGTGTGTTGACACTGCGTTCTATTCTGTTTCTTCGCACAAACGCAATCTCTGACTCATATCTGCTTGCCTACACGTGGCGGCCCTGTTGCCCTGTCTCTGGGGTGCTGAAAGCAGTTTTCAAAAGGTAGTTTTCACTGCCATTTCCTTATCTTCCTTCCCCCGGTGCGATTAGCATGGAGGAAGAATCCCTCCAGGAGTCCCCAGTCAGGGACCCCAAGGAGGTTGGGTTGGACAAACTAAAGTCCATCAAACTCGAAGCCGAAAAATACATGGAGGAGAACCCAAACTCCAAATTCGGCACAAAAATACACGCCAAAATGGTCATGGATTTCTTTGACCAGATGATAGGCGTATATGCGGACACCTTCCAGACGAAGGATGACCAGCTACAGACCATCACAAGAAAAATAGACATGCTTCTTGATAACTCGACCAAGAAACCTGCCAATACGACTCTTTCGTACGCAGATAAAGTCAAGGTTGGCCCTACCCCCCACCATTGCTCCAGTACTGTTGTAATAATAGAAAGCACAGACCACAACGAAGATGCTGAGACAATAAAAACAAGAATAAAATCTAAACTCGACCCCCGGCAACTAAAACTAGGGGTTAAACAAGTTAGAAAGATACGCAACAGAGGGCTACTGGTTGAATTGGAGGGAAAGGATAAAGGGGAACACCTGATAAATGAAATAAACAATATGGGAAACCTAACGGCACGTCTGCCGAAAAAGATTCTCCCAAAGGTGACTATATTTAATATTCCTGCTTCCCTAAACAAGCAGGACATAATAGAGGGTCTTTTTGACCAAAACGAACCCATAACCAAGACCTACCAGAACGTAGAAGAGTTCGGTAAAAACATAAACATTAAAAGCAAATTCGGCAGAAAGCCCGAGGTGAACCACTGGATCTGCGAGGTCACGCCAGACCTACGAAAACTATTGTTAAAACTGAAAAAGGTCAACTTAGATTGGGTACGCTGCTCGGTGGAAGAATACTACAGCATTATCCAATGCTACAAATGCTGCAAATACGGTCATATAGCTAGAGAATGCTCCAGTGATCGCAACCACTGTAACCACTGTGGGGGCGATCATAGATATTCGGAGTGCAAAAACAAAAATACCGCCCCTAACTGCATTAACTGTATAAGGAACAAATCGAACTCCTTCGCCCATAGAGCAAACCACCCCACCTGTGCCGAAAGACAGAAAATAATAAGAGCCATAACATCAAGAACTGATTATGGATAAGGAAAATCCAAATCATGCTGTCAGATGTAATACCGAAAAGCAACATATCATCACAATAGCACAGGCTAACCTTGGACGTGGAATTTGCGCCGTCTCCCAGATGGTGGCATGGGGAAGTAAGCATGCAGACATCCTACTGCTGCAAGAACCTTATCATAGGGGCGGCACTCCATTTGGCTGGCCGATCAGTACCAACAAACTCTATCACTGTGATGGTGAACAACCCTGGTCAATGATCTGTATTACCAATACACAGATACCATGTATATTGCTAACCAGATATTCCAATAATTATCAGACATTTATCGAAATTGAATGCAAAAGCGAGCGATGGATTATAGGCAGTGTCTATATGCCCATGGACTCGGATATCGAGGACTCTCTAACCAACCTAGAGAGCATTGTAGATAACTATAAGTCAACCCACAAACTGCTAATAGCGGGGGACTTCAATGCCCACTCCTACCTCTGGTATGAGGACACCACCGACGACAGGGGCGAGGCACTCGAGGACTTTATACATGGAAAAGATCTATACTTACTGAATGAACCAGGCAACTTACCCACCTTTGAGACAGCAAATGGCTCGTCTAATGTTGACCTCACACTTTGTAATCATCTGGCACTTAATTTTGTTAAAGGATGGGAAGTTCTCCCAGAACCCACCCTATCTGACCACCGTTATATCCACTATACGCTCGCAGATCTCCAACCAGCACAAGACATCAACAAATTCAACATCAACAGAGCTAACTGGGACCACATCATAAACAGCATGAAGAAAGAAAACTACAACATCGACACAGAAAATATCAGACTAAGTGCGGAACATGCCATTAATAACATCATTCAAACCCTAAACCATAGTATTGATTCGGGTATTCCCCGCTACCAGCCACGTGACCGCGTGGTGAAGTGGTGGTGTGCGGAACTCCAGGCACACAAAAGCAAGGTCACCGCTAAACGCCGGAGATTCCAGCACTGCGCCGACCCAGTAAGGAGGGAACGACTGAAGACCGATTACCTTCAAGAACAGCTAAAATACAAGACACACATTAAGGAGTGCAAACAAAAGAGCTGGAGGAAGTTCTGCACTAACTGCAACAGCGACCCATGGGGCCTGTTGTATAAGCTGGGTACTAATAAGATAAAGAGCAAAATCCAGTTACTCGACTTTCAGCAAGCTGACGGCACTCACGTGCAAAGCGTCAACGACTGTTTAACTTTATTACTGAATAGCTTTTTCAAATACGACAACCTAAACGAGGATAGCCTGAACCAAAGGCATATCCGCAACAACCTAAAATTCTTTACGACGAGCCCGGACTGCCCGGCCTTCACCCAGGCAGAGCTCAACTGGGCTATGCATAAATTTAAAAACGGTAAGGCCCCTGGACTCGATGGTATTACCATTGAGATCCTCAAGGCCATCCACCAAAGGCTACCCACACTCCTACTTGGCATCTATAACTGCTGCCTGAGGAACGCCATCTTCCCGAGCGCCTGGAAAAAGGCCAATGTCATCCCAATATATAAGGGAAACAACAAGCCAAAGAACGTAGTCAAGAGCTATCGACCCATCTGTCTCCTCCCCGTAATGGGGAAGGTACTCGACAGACTGGTAACCCAACGGCTAACTGAATGGCTACGAGCCACTCGTCCTCTCCATCCCAGCCAATACGGCTTCCGGGAGGGAGTAGGCGCCGAAGACGCTATCCATAAAGTGATAAATGAGATAAAAGACTCGAGGAACAACCACTCATGGACGGCATTAATCAGCCTTGACATACAAGGGGCCTTCGATAACACCTGGTGGCCCCTGATCTTTTCTACGTTAGAGAAACTCAACTGCCCTAATAACCTATACAGGATCATCTGTGACTATTTTACCAACAGAACAGCTACCATATCATACGGAGGATGCTGTGTAACTAAGCGGGTCACCATGGGCTGCCCACAGGGCTCATGCTCCGGCCCCCTCCTCTGGAGTCTTGTCCTGAACGGACTCCTCTGCCAAAGGTTCCTAAGAAACGACAAATTTACAGCCTATGCTGATGACCTCCTCTTGATCTGTAATGCAGACAGCAAAAACGATCTCGAGTTACAGGTAAACAACAAATTGGAAAGAATTAAAATTTGGGGAAATGATAATAAACTAACTTTCAACCCCAGCAAAACGATCTGCCTAATCTTCACTAAGTTTAAAGTTGAGAGGCGCTTACCCTCCCTCAAAATGGGTAGGGAGAGCATAACCATCGCCTCGCAAACTAGATACCTAGGAGTAGTCATCGACGATCGACTCTCCTGGGTCCCACACTTGGACCACCTCAAGGAGAAGACATGCCACCTCTTTGCCTGGTTAGCAAAAGTCGCCAGGAGGGACTGGGGCCTCTCAGGAGTGGCCCTGATGACTATATACAAAGGTGCCATCATACCGATTATTACCTACGCAGCCGCCTCATGGAGTGAGAGGACGGAGAACTGCCATTCCTACAGGAAACTACTCTCTATTCAGCGCAAGGCATTAATCAGGATGGCCGGAGCTTTCCGCACCATCTCCAACGATGCCGTCCAGGTCCTGGTGGGAGCCCTCCCCCTCGACCTGATAATACAACAAAAGTGCGCCATTTACATGGCAAAAGCAAAACAGATCGTCCCCCACTACATACATCTGGCGGGGGCGACCATTGAAAATCCGATACCAATCAGCGGCAAAATGGCCATAAAGGACATTCCGCACATACAGGTCTCTGACTATGACCCCAAGAGGCAAAAACGTATATACACGGACGGGTCAAAGACTGAGGATGGCACGGGAGCCGCCTTTGTGTATTACCACATGCAGAGGCAAACCTACAGTCAAATAAGAAAACTACACCGATGTTGCAGCAACTTCCAGGCTGAGTTGCTAGCTATCCAGTCTGCAGTACTCTGGGCGGTAGAGCATTGTAACAACGGCACATTCTACATCTGTACCGACAGCAGATCAGCCCTAGCGGCGCTGCAGGATGTCAATAATAGACACTGCATTGTCAACCAGACCTGGAAAATACTTGTTAATACCAAAGCACGACACCCCAATCTCGGCTTCTTCTTTTCCTGGGTGAAAGCCCACGTGGGCACGCCTGGGAACGAAGCCGCTGACAAACTCGCCAAGGAAGGCACGACCCTGCAGCTTTCCTACTCTTACGCATGTATCCCGATTTCAAGTGTGAAGCTCCTCATTAAGGAGTACTATCTTAACCTCTGGCAGGTCCGCTGGTCGTCATCCGACAAGGGCCGGGACCTAGCCGCCTTCATTCCGTCAATACACAGAAGGCTAACGAACCGCAACTTACAGGTGGACCACTACCTTACGGCCTTCATTACGGGCCACGGGTACTTTAACTCCTACCTCTATCGCTATGGACACACAACGACAGATCTCTGTGAAACCTGTGGAACCACGGAAGACGTCGACCACGTGATCTATAGCTGCATACGACTTGAAAATGAAAGACAAAACTTGAAAACCATGTGCGACCACCAAAACATCCAGTGGCCAGCGCCGAAGCACAAGATCATTGAAGACGCCGAAGTCTACCCTTACTTCATCAGACTAATGAACTCATACTATAAGCTAAAAAAGATTAAATAGATGTAATTCAGCTATGTCAACAACACGCGTATAATATTATAGTAAGAAACATCGCTCCCACGGAGCAACCTATGTCGCGCAATCTTTAATGTAATATACTGATTTTTATACTAATGTTAATTATCTCTATGTTGTAACACCCCCGTAAAGCTATGCGAAACGGGGTTCATTAAAACGGAACTGTCATACGGCAAGGCTATGTAGCCCGAGCCAAAAGACGAAGTTCCAACAAATTGAAAATTGAAATTGAAAAAAAATTGTCCCTATCTACTACTACAGTTTGGAATTGCTGGATAAGATAGGCTGCTATATTTTGTGCTCCCGAATTATGTTGTGTTTTTTGCGGAAATAAGTGTTTGTCATAAGAATTTTTTGTTATTTTGTGTATCAGAATGAAGGCTACACTGGAATACGTCAAGTAGGAGGTTTTACTTTGACCCATTTTTAAATTATAACTAAAAAACTGTACTTTTCCGATTATCCGGACATTACTTTATCGGTTTACCGTAATTTTTTGGGATCCGTGTTGGGATCACCATAGTACTCTGGACACCAAAAATTGGCGTCTTGTGCCTATTATTTACTGAAATACCGGTACGACTTCCGGTCGGCAATCGAATTCAAGTTTTGGGCTTCCGGTTGGTCCAATCGATATAAGACCTGGGTAGTTCTTTTAGTAGACTATAAGTAAACTTTTCGTAAATTTTTGTGAAAATCGGATAGATAGATTTTAAATAATGGCAATTCTTAAATCAAGTTCGAAATTCAACATTTCAATTTATGCCGTTGCCATGGCAGAGGTCAATGACCTTTACGGATATTAAGTTAGTTTATCTGCTATAACTTTGTTGTTTATAACTTTATATAGTATAAGTTATATATTTTTGGAATTGGGACATTACAAGGAATACAAATATTCTGATTATAATAAAATTGGATAAGTATATAACTAGTATATTTTTATTTATTTGGTTATTTGCATGGTATCTTGCATTAAATGTAATTTTACTATGACAACTGAAAGTTTTCCAATTCATACTGCGCGTCAGGCAGCTAATGAAGTAATCTTAGAGCTAAAAGATTACATAGCTGAAAATTCACAATGTAAATTCTCTACTGCAAGACATGCAGACTTCATATTTGACTGCATCAATAGAGTTATAAAAATTTATGAAGATAACAGCATACATACTATGCTTCAAGAAATTAATAATAAAATAGAAACGCTTGGTGCCAATGCTAATAGAGAGAAAACAATTAGCACTACTTATAGCTCAGTACTAAAAACGGGAAAACCTACACCTGCAAATGATAATATTCATGATAAGCACTCCAAAGATGTACTATTGGTTTATAATAAGGA